GCAAGCCACAGCCTGCCAGCCGCAGTCAGCAAGCCCACAGCCTGCCGGCAGTAGCCAGCAAGCCCACAGCCTGCCAGCCGCAGCCAGCAAGCCCACAGACTGCCAGCCAGCAACAGTAATTAAGGTAAGAGGAGCCAACTTGGCTTAGGTATCAGCTAGCTATGTTGTGTTGCTATATTGTGAATAGGAACCAGAGTGTTGGAGAGACCACCCTCCAGGCCCCATTAGACTCTAGCCTCTGCTAGAAATCCCCTCCATGGCCCATTAGCCCTCAATTGTAGTTTCTACTGGGGCCTGGAGGCGACTGTTTCCAGCAGGGGATATCTAATGGACGCTGAGATGGCCTCTGTTAGAAAGACCCCCTTCCAAGCCTTTTAGACTCCATTGTAGTCTCTAATGGGGCTTGGAGGGGATTCTATCTAACACACTCTCTAAAGGACACTGAGATAGCCTCCGCTAGAAAGACCCCCCTCCATGGCCCATTAGCCCTCAATTGTAGTCTCTGCTGGGGCCTCGAAGGGCTTATTGCCCTTTTGTTCCTTGTGTCTAAAGATTGTGTAGGGTGTGGCTGGAGGCGGTGCATGGAGGCAGGAAAAGGGTGGCGCTTGCTGCAGAGTATGGGTGGGGCCTGTAAGGGGGCCCTTGATTTATTTTGCCCGGGGGCCCTGAGGGTTCTCAGTCCGCCACTGGCGCCATGTATTGTCACATGTAATATGTAAGGCTATGTCCTGCCACCCTAGATTGAGATATATATATATAGATAGATATATATTGCTTTTTTTCCCCCCAATATAAAATATTGGTCCTTGCATAGTAAAAATTTTAATTATACAGTAAGCATACTCACATGCAGACACAGACAATCTCACTGACACAAGCCTCATAGACAAACAATCTCACTGATATACATAAGGTCATTGACCCAAAACACAAGCTCACTCAGTAGTAGACACACACACAAACACACAAGCAAGCCCACACACACAGCTTAATGTAGTGGCTCTGGTGTCTATAGCCTGTCCCTGCAGGCTTTTCAATGTAAACACTGACTTTTTAGAGAAAAGGCAGTGTTTACATTGCTTCCTAGTGACAGACACTCAGACGGTCACTAGAGGTGCTTCCTGTGTCAGTGCGGATTGGCTGAGATCATCAAGCTTGATGATATCAGCCATAGAGGCAGGGCCAGTCGAGGGGAGACCAGCACGACGTTGGGGAGAAAAAAAAGGTGAGTAAAAACATACATACACACACACACACACACACACCGTGACACAGACAGAAACACACACACACACGTGACACAGACACATGACACACACACGCACACACCACGACACAGAGAGACCGTGACACAGACAAACACACACACCATGACAGACAGACACACCATAACAGACAGACATACACTCACACTGACACACAATTTCTACCTGTGGGGAGCTCCTTTGGTGGCCGCAGGGGGAGCTGGCTGTTCTGTCTCTGCTCCCCCTCCCCGGCGCGCCGCTTAATGAGACCGGGGCCGGAATATGATGTCATATTCCGGCCCCGGTCTCTTTTTAGTGCGCTGGGGAAGGGGAGCAGAGACAGAACAGCCAGCTCCCCCTGCGGCCGCAGGTGCCAACGGTATCCCGGTGGGCCAGTCCGGCCCTGTATGAATGTGAGCAGTGTATGGGGGCTGGTTGTGGAATTGTGTATGGATATGTTACTGTGTGTGTGGGGGCTTGTGGAATTGTGTGCGTGTATGTAGATTGTCAGTGGTGTTACGTTTGTAGGTACTGTTTGTGTGTGTGCGGTTTGTATTATTTGCATGAAGGGGAACATTATTTTGCAGGTCTGTGTATATCTAGAAGGGTGGTTGGCCTTCATGGGGTCCAGCGGGCACCAGGCTGGCCAGGTACAGGTCAAGGACAGGGGCTGAGGGCTGCTTGACTCCAGTGCGGATTCACATTCACAAGTGGGGGGGAGGAAGTGATATCTTCCTCTAAGTATTGCAATGTGTAAATTAAGGATTGCCCCTCAACACGTGCAATCTCCATTCAGTTTGCACTAGGGACCTGATAGGTCGGAGTCTGGCTCTGGCACCCTTGAGTGCCGTAGGTTGCTGACTTGCCTTAACTCAGCTTTTGGGCAATTGTTGCATCTCTCTCAGTATTCAATGTAGACTATAAAGTTCCCTTCCAGCAAACACATCACTGGCTGTCACAGAAATTACTAAAGTCTTTTAATTAAGTACATAAAACCCAAGTCTCAGATAGTATATTCCCACAGGTAATTAGGGTGCTTAGTAGAGTTTTAGAAAAAAAAAATGTATTTATATAAATATTTTTTTATATTCCAGGATTCATTTTTTTCAGGAATTGTCACAATGTAATGGTGTATATCAGACATGGTAGTCATGTTTCAAAAAGGGGTCAAAAAGTCATCCAGACAATTACAGGGATGTGAACTTTATAAGTGTGGTGAAGACATTCTATAAAGGGTTTTACATTATTGCACTGTGAATAACCGTCATTAGTAATTGTACTTATGGTTAAATGAATGAAAGATCAAGTGATTAGAATAATAAATTAGTGTTTTGCAATGCATGTCATCTACTAAAACATTTGATTAGCTTCATGCAGTAAGTTACTGTAGAAATTAAGTTATCAGATTAGAAGAAAAGGCTTGTATTTCAATTACAAATTGATGCAGTGCAGGGAGGAGTTGTTAAAAAAAACATTCAAACCACCATAAGCAATACAGCCGAGTGGAGTGGTTATGATGCCAGAAGTTTCTTGGTGTCATCCCACCATAATCTTAAAAGTTGTTTTAGCATGGTTTGACACTTATCTTGGTCCCGTTGTACTCTTACTCCTTCTGGTCTTCTGAAACTGACATCTGGATCTCCGTCTCACAGAAGACTGGACGCAGCTGTAAACCACACTAAAACAGTTCAACAACTAATGCTCCGATAGTGCCACAGCACTTCTGGCACCATAACCACTGCAGTGAGCTGTAAATTAAAATTTGGTCAACAATAGTAAGCGCAACAAGTCTACTTTTTAATGTTTATTAATGGTCTTACATACATTAAAAAATATAATTTTTTCCCATTTGCAAGTTGTAAGGGGGCCTTCAGTGAGCGAGCAGCGAGATTAGATTTTAGCTTGGTGGTCTGCATCAATATTCGATGCAAGCCACTTTAAAAGCTCACTCACAGCCCCTAGCGCTTCTCAATGGCTCAGAGCGTTACAGTAGGAGCTCTTAAAGTGGTCTGCCACAACCTATACATAGGTGACAACATCATCACATATGACGTACTCAAACATAAAACAAACCTAAAAACCTCCAACTACTTTCGGTACCTGCAAGTTAGGAACTATGCCCAAACGTAAAAAAAAAGCGGCCCTACACAGCTAACATTCTTTGAAAAGATATGTGACGCAGAAACATACCAAAAGGGCCTCATCACTAGGCTATACTCCCACCTATGCGCCAACACTACAGAATGGGGGGGCTTACCATACACCGACCAGTGGCAAACAGACTTAGGGGAGACACTGGAAGGGACAGATTGCCAAGACATATGGGAGGCTAACGGACGGACCTCGCTGTGTGTCACGATGCAAGAACAATCGTATAAAACGATGTTCAGGTGGTACACCACCCCGGTCTAGCTCTATCACATGCATAAAACGACGACAGACCAATGCTGGAGACTGTGCGGACAGAGAGGCACATACAAACATGTGGTGGGACTGCCCCCGAATACAAACCTCACGACGAATGTGTTTCAGAGATCCCTGACTACTACTACTACTACTCTCTCGGCCACTAGACTGTTGGACTAGACCAGAACAAAAATGAATCCACAAAATTGCACTGGCTGCTAGAAGAGCCATAGCTAAATCCTGGCTGGAACCTGAAGTCCCATCCATCGACCTGGTCACCTTTAAAACTAAAAGACACATATTTAATGGACAAACTGACCGCCCAGGTCCGGGGTACACTACAAACTTTCAGGAAAGTGTGGGGGCCATGGGAGGCCTACCTGGAGGGGGTGGCCTGAGCCCTCCTGGCTACACTAGCTCCCTGCTGAACCCAGCTCCCTCTCCCCTATCACTTCCTCTTGCTCCACCCCTTTTTCTTTTCTCTCCGGCCGGGTAATCCCGACTGATAAAATACTTGAGAGGCGGACATCATACTATTGATTTAAGATCCCCGTTGCCAGCAGACGGACACATAGCCCGAAAAACTCTCTGTGGTATGCCACGGACGAGACAGGGGCTCCTCAGACACGCTACATGACTAGCATCCTCCATAGACTTGCCACCAAATAGGCTGGTACCCACCGCTACACCATACCCATGTTCTGTCACGGTCATGAATCACTGTAAACCTGCTAGATGCCCTTCAGCACCTATGTTTCACTAATGTCAATGCTGCTACCTTTATTGTCACGACTGTTACTATATGTCAAATATTGTACTGTATAACACTGTCTACCACTCAAGCGAAAATAAAGAAGGAAAGAAAAATGAATAAAGTGGTCTGCCACTGCACCACCAGGGAAAGGTAAGCAGGAGCGGGTCACACACATCGAGACACGAAATACACACAAACATAAGCAAACCCAAAGACCAAACACACACAACACTCAGCGTCTTTCCCTCTTACAGTTTTTAGCTCCCTACACGAGATCCTTATATTTACTTGCAGTATAAACTGCTTCAAGTGCCTCCTCAATTTATGCTCTAGTGTGGTCACCTCCAAAGGGGCACCCAGGTTGGATGGGTGGGGTGCTCAGCCCAATAGGAATCTGGTCTGCATTCCAAATATACACATAAAAAATGGGAATTGGGGGCACACCCAGCATTACTAAGTAGTGGTGCTGCCGTAAAGACCAAACAAATACAAAATACAGTAAAAGGAACAGCGCACACACAGAGAAAAATACAGCTACTTAAGGTTTCTTAAATCACCTATCATAGCAAACAAATATGGGGATTCAGTTCCACCATACGGCCACATTGGGTTAAGCCCACCACTACATCACAGTACCCCAATATCGGTGGGCCCTGCACCAATTTTAACATGGGCAATTTACACGCCAACTTGCTATACTTACATGCCGTATAATCTGATTTAAAGGACTCCTCAATGTAAACTTTCCTGTAGTCACCTCCAAAGGGGCCCCCATATTGGATGGGTGGAGCGCTCAGCCCAAGAGGCTTATGATCTGGATTCCAAATCCACACAGAAAAAAAATAAATAAAAAAGATTTGGGGATACACCACAGAATTTTTTTGAGTGTGTTGATTTGGATTCCAGACCAGATTACTATTGGGCTGAGCACCCCACCCAACCTCCTCTTTAACAATAACACCCTGAAACCGGTGAGAGAGTTCTGCTTAAGGGCCATCAGATTTTGAGCTTATGGTGGACCATGTGTGTCTGAGTCCTCATAGTTATAAATGGTTCAATGCACTTTCAAGATTACACAAATCATTTACTGCACTGTACACTCTTCAGTTTTGTCTGACCTTGCCTCGGTGGAGATTTTTTTTCTCTAGCTTGTACCAATCTATAGTTATCTGAAATGTTTGATGGTCAGGATAGATCATCTAGAGCTGGGTAGACCTATCCAAAGCTTTCTCAACTTGAAGATACATTTCTCCCATCATGAACCATATTTGGTATGAACAGCTGGGAAGAAGACATGAATGTCCATTTAATGTTGGAAGGGATAATGAATGGTACAATCTTTAGCAGTGAAGCAACACGTGAAAGAGATGCTTAGGGATATATTGGTGTTAATACAACAAAAGAGAAACGGGATCCATGATTACAGAGAACACAGTCTAATAAGGGGTTAATGACAGGATGATACAGGTACAGGAACATAGACCTCCGGATGCATTGAATAGACAATGGTGAATAATTTAGATATTGCATGGATATTACAATTACACCACTGGAACCCAGGTTACACAATATCTCTAGGTGGTGATGTAGACCAACAGCGCAAGGTAATGTTAACCACAAGGTGGCAAAATTGAGCAAAGTTCCAGACACAAAAAAGAATACATGTTCTAATCACTGCACAGGCAGATTAACTCAGTGTGCCATATACAAATAATATGTGATGTATGAAATTATTACTCCACATCCAACGATACATGATAATACTGAAAAGAGAATTGGAACACACAGTAACATTTGCAGTCCTCGTGCCCATGTAGCGCAATAATGCTATCCAATTGGCCATACCATAAGAAACCTATTAATATTATGAATATTTCTGGCATTTATACAGCGCCAACTTATTCCGCAGCACTTTACAATATTATAAAAGGGGGGAATTGTAATAATAAATAAGACAAGCACAAAATGCTAGCAGAATGCTTGGTTGTATAGGGAGAGGTATTAGCAGTAGAAAGAGGGAAGTGCTCCTGCCATTGTACAGAACACTGGTGAGACCTCACTTGGAGTATTGTACACAGTACTGGAGACCGTATCTCCAGCAGGATATTGATACTTTAGAGAGAGTTCAGAGAAGGGCTACTAAACTGGTTCATGGATTGGAGGATAAAACTTACCAGGAAGGGGCGTGGCCTGACCGTCGAGAAGACTGGACGTGTCTCCTTAGAGCTCCGTGCTACACGCGCCCAAAAAAGCTAACGAAAGCGACCCAAAGTGCTTTTTTTGTCCACTTTCCCACCTTACCCCATACCATGGAGAAGAGGGAGTCCAAAAAACACCCTAAAAAGTTCTCTGAACCGGGTGGCTCCGTCCTGGACCTCCTGACCGCTCCTAAGCAAGGCCGGCCTGAAAGCCAAGATGGCGACGGGGGCTCCTCACAGGCATCGCCTCGTGGTAACAGGGAGTCCTCGTCAGCCGACCACGACACCGTCCTGTTTAAGCTGGCAGAAGTCCGGACCTTCTTGGCCGGTGAGATCGCCAAATCGACAGAAGTCCTACAGGCCGACATAGGAGCCCTTGGGGAACGGACCGCGAGGCTAGAGGAGCGTATGGACGCCACTGCTCAGGCCTACAATGCGGTTGTGGACCGGGTCAACCACCTCACCGCCCAGGCGGTAGATACAGACCTGGCAATGGAGGACATGGCGAACCGCTCCCGGAGGAACAACCTCCGCATACGGGGCCTGCCTGAAGACAAAAGCGAAAAGCTGCAGGAGATTGTGCTCTCCGCCCTGAGACCTCTCCTCCCAGATCTGCCAGAGGAACGCTGGCACATGGA